TGTTTTTTTTGCTGGAAATCATTCACATTTTTGAAATTGTACTTTTGACAGGTGAATTTAATTGGTTGCAGCAATTATGTCTGTAATATCTAACGGATATCTGCCAAAAATCCCACAGCTGATAAATGTTAATGGTTTGGCTAGGGTATCAAACGATGGACTGTTACAGGCAGGGTCACATTTTATAAAGGTGACTGCTAATACAGTGTATACTGTATGCACATAGTAAAAAAATAACTTCTCTAAAACAGCTTAGTAAAACAGCTTAGATATTTAGTGTGAAACATTGACTAGTTGACTCTACATTATGAGTTGTTTACTGTATGCAGTTGTGAAACTAAAATTCTTCCTCTAAAACAGAGATAAATATAATATTTTAAATAAAACATTGTTTAACTTACTGTGCTGGTGCCAAAATTGCCTGGGAGTCATTGGTTTTATGGAAATTGCTGGGAAAAAAAATCTAATCTAAAACCATACATATATACAGCACAAATGTATTCAATCAAATTCAAGTGAAATATATAGCCGAAAACTTGAATATTTTGTGTTGTGAAGGGCACCAGTATGGTGTAATGTTGATGGGGTAATTATTTTACTAATTGATTTACACCTTACAATAAATACTGATCTTTATTCTATCTCATCAAATCTTTTATGAAGCAGCAAGAAAATATTTTGATTGGTTACGAGTTCAGGTATTTCAGGAAAATTACTTATAATCAGATGTGTTTTTCTTTACCTTACCTGAGTCAAAGATAAGCTTTTGTGATGGCAAGTTGTCAGACTCCCATCTGCTATATTTATACACTATATATGCCTTCTATTAACTACAAGGTTGATTTTGTATTTATACACTATGCCTTCTAAATTACAAGGTGATTTTGACCAAAGTTCATAAAAATAATGCTTAGATGGCCTTCTTGGCCACCAGACCTCTTATTTAAGAAAACACATTTCCAGAGCTTAGATATCTGGCATTGCCTTGATGACCTAACAAGTGCCTTTTCCAGCTGTTTTGGGAAAAGATCACTTGCATATTGCAATTGGCAAAAATGTGCAGCATATTGAAAAATTAATTTAAATTGTAGAAATTTTTAAAAACTACCTTATACATGACCTACATGTATGATTATATAACTTGTTACTTCTTTCAAGAAACTTAAATGTCATAACAGTTCAGGTTTGCTCAGAAGTTGAAACAATTTAGTTTTTTGGCAACTGTTGGAATTTTTATTTTTTTGAAATTTGAAAAAAAAAGCTTATTTTTCGCATTGGGATTAAGGCCTTATACTTTCCCCTGGTGTAATGGAGAAAATGCCCTGCATCATACATCTACATTAGTTTTATAAGTTAGCCCCTATATTCACTAGGAGTTACTTAAATCTCTGTCACACCAAGTAGGGTTCTCACTACGTCAAAAAAAGATTCAGATAACTTAGAAGAGTGCCTTATGATTGCATGCATCGAGGTAGCATTGCATAGAACGCTAACTGACAAAGCACTCAGTCTATCCACATATATTTAAGTGACATTAATCTGAAACTGTTGCTATGAGGTGCAAATAGGTAATTTTGGGGTTTAGAGATAAAAGGAATAACGTCAACTGAGAGAGAACATCTATCTGTAGTCAATTGGTTTCCACAGCATAACTTTTGAAGGACTTCAATGATTGTGTTTATATTTGGCATATATTTTGGCATGTCAATATATTATTTTTAAACACAGAGCAAGTAAAATTTTCGCTGCAATCAACATATTAATGACAAAGTCAGACCACTTTTTAACAAAATTGGTTGTGAAATTATCAGTTGCTGCATGATAACTTTTGAAGGATTAATCTTTGATTGTGTTTATTCCTCATATATAACTTATATAAGTATTTTAAATGAAAACACAGGTTAAGTTTGATTTTTCTTTGCAATTAATTTTATGGACTTTATGCCCTTTGTATGCAAACAATCTATTACAAATTAAAATGCTTTTACCTGAAAAAAATTAGACTGTATATTTTTTCTTTCATATTCACTGGAAACAATTCATCATTTGTACTACATGTATTTACAACAAGATTTGCTATCTTAATCTTGAGGGCATATTTTTGTTCTTTTAAATTTGCCACTGGCCGTATGTTTCCCCAGGTTTGCAGAGCTCTTGAACGAAAGACTGAAAAATAGGGTATAAAACTTTGGGTTTGATTATGACTCGGCAGGAATGGTTTTACTGTTGTAGCAAAACACCTAATGAAGATCTAATACACTTTGTGTTATAGATATTGGAAACAGCTCATTGTAAGTGCTGCTCAAGCACCCTGTGTGCAATGTTATAAGGAATGAAAGTAGTGAGAATGCAGTCAATTGCCAACTAAAGTGCTGCCAGAAAGCAATAGAATATGCAAGAAGCTCTGTACCAATGCTTTGATCACTGTGACAACACTGTCCAGTCTACATTGTAAATCAACACAAAAACTATCAACTATTATTGTGATCTCTGGGTGCACTTGAGAATTTAACAATGTCATTCCAACACTTTAGAAACAGGATAAAATGTGACATAGGCTTTAGTTAAACTTTTGTCAAAAACATATCTTAAAAATGTCCTCAGAAATTACAATGACCTGAGCAAAGGTAATCTGCTTGTAGCATTAACTTGTGGTCCTCTACAAAAGTTATATAAATGATGACCTTAGGGGTCTAAATTCTGGCTCCCCCCAAAACTGGTCATTTAGTTTACATGAAGACTTATCCAGTATATTGGAAGCACAAGTCATTTAGTTTATATGAAGACTTACCCAGTATATTGGAAGCACAAGTCATTTAGTTTATATGAAGACTTACCCAGTATATTGGAAGCACAAGTCATTTAGTTTATATGAAGACTTACCCAGTATATTGGAAGCACAAGTCATTTAGTTTATATGAAGACTTACCCGCGTATATTGGAACACAAGTCATTTAGTTTATATGAAGACTTTTCTGGTATTATTTGGAAGCACAAGTCATTTAGTTTACATGAAGACTTTTTCTTGGTATATTGGAAGCCACAAGTCATTTTAGTTTATATGAAGATTTACCCGGTATATTGGAAGCACAAGTCATTTAGTTTATATGAAGACTTACCCGGTATATTGGAAGCACAAGTCATTTAGTTTATATGAAGACTTACCCGGTATATTGGAAGCACAAGTCATTTAGTTTACATGAAGACTTTTCTGGTATATTGGAAGCACAAGTCATTTAGTTTATATGAGAAGATTTACCCGGTAGTTTATATGAAGACTTACCCAGTATATTGGAAGCACAAGTCATTTAGTTTACATGAAGACTTATCAGGTATATTGGAAGCACAAGTCATTTAGTTTACATGAAGACTTACCCGGTATATTAGAAGCACAAGTCATTTAGTTTACATGAAAGACTTACCCGGTATATTGGAAGCAAAAGTCATTTAGTTTATATGAAGATTTACCTGGTATATTGGAAGCACAATTTTAAGTCTTCTTGTACCCAGAGCTTTGATATTAGACATGCAGCTTGTTCACTTCTCTTAGGTCAAAATTAATAAGAGTATGTTAAAAAAAATAGGCAAAGCAAATTTTGAAATTATTGTTCTAGATAGCCTAATTTATTTTTCCATCAATATCAATATACATATTTTTTTTCTTTCGCTTTTTCTTAGGCTGCATGTGAAATCAGAAAACTTTTATTGTTATTTAATACCTCAGCATACTTACCTTGGCAGTTTTTTTAAGCAAATGACTTCTGATCTATTTTAACTGCCGTGTTTTAACTGCCACCATTGATAGTGTTCTAGAAAGCTGTCTATCCAGCTGAAGTTTAATGATGCATACATCTTTCATGTGCAAAGTTAACTTTTCACAGATCATTACTGAATGCACTAATGTAAAAATAATTTCAGGATTTTCAGTTCATAAACATGTCTTCAATAAGAAAATCTAATAAGCTCAACTTGTAATAAGCTCAAATCCTAATGAAAAATATATTATTAGGTTTGTGATATTTTGGTGTCAAGATCAATACTGGAATAATAGGTGGCTGTTGTAGATCAGATACAATAGGATTTACATGAATATTGAAATGGCTTTTCCACTGTAGATCCATTTGGTCAGATTTTAATGAAATGTAATATCACACTTGTAAATATGAATAAGGAAGTGACTTTATCATAAAAAGTAGAGTGGGGGTAGGGGGCTATATATGGATCCCTTTATCCTGTCCAGATTTTTTTTCTTAAACATTTTTGAACCATGTTATGTTTACATTTTAAATGAATAGGAATGCATATTTTTACTAGTGTGCATGAGACTGACAAGATGTCATACACCCACTTGTACACTGGTACAACATAAACTAATTCTTATTAATTATATATACATGCATGTATTATAAAAATTCTACAAAACTATATACCTTGGCTCAATAGATGATCCTTGACAGCCATTTTTATTTTAAGATTTTTATCTATTTTCTTAATCAGAGTCAAAGTTTGCTCTATGTTTGTATTTATTTACCATCTTTTTTTTAACCTTATTTATTTTAGAGATGGTAAAATAGTTAAAATAAACTATAGTTAACCTATAATTCTGTCTGTTCACATTATTCAAGAAATTGTCCACCAGACATAACTTTACCCACATTGCTTACTTTCAAAAGAAATACTTTATCAAATGTTGTTAACTCATGAAAGTCATGTTTCTTACATTAGTTTGCAGTTTTACATCCAAACTTTTATGATTTTGTTTTTGCAATCTATTTGATTTTTGACAGTTTCAACAAGTGTTTCTCATAAATATTATTTCAATTTTCTCCTGAAGTTGAGGGAAGATTAGCTTTCCTTACTCTGTCAGTTATGCCTCACAAATCAGTATGCTGCTCTTAAATCATTATTAACACACCTGTTATTAAGTGTAATTAGATTTACTTTTACTGTATGTTATAATTGACCATTAATTGCATGGAAAACATATTTATATATTTCAGATATCTGAGATAAATATTACAGAACATATTGAAGGTGATGCTACAAAGTTTGCTCTTTGGACAGGAAGAGCACCTATTTCAGAATATAAGATTGTTCTTAAGGTAAGTTAAATCTTGTACTTAAGATAAGTTAAATATTAAGTTTATATTGATTGGATCAATCAGTACAGGGAAAAAACAAACCAGAATTTAATATTTATCTCTATCAATAACTCATATATGTAATGTATAGATCTCACAGAGGAAGAGTGCAGGGTCATAAAATTGCATAATTTTCATATTTAAGAATCATAAAGTCAATATGATGTATTATAAAACTACCCTTCTGACATAGTGGTGTATGTGGGTGACTTGGACTAGAGCAATGGCAGTTTAAGTCTATTTCAGGGATTGAATATCATGACCTTTTCAATATGTACATTTTCAGGCACAGACATTAGATATAAAGCAAGTATGGGTGAAAAAGTTGAGGGAGTTGATACAAGAACGTATGATGTATATACATGAAGCTTTTAAGGGAAAACAACCAATTGTTTTTAAAGCCCCACCAAAGATAAGTGTACCAAGTAGAGTGAGCAGGTAAAATTATCAATTTGTTATAACCAATCTCTAAATTTACTTTTACTTAACCTTGAAATCTTGTCACACACAGATGTTAAATATTTGTAAAAAAAGGTGTTATATACTTGTTTATAATACTTAAGCTACAGTAGGTATATTGTCCATTGATCACTGTTCTACTGTAAATCTATTGTTTTCTAAACAATATGTGTTTACATTTATCTGTAAAGTGCACAATTTTTTGATATTGTATGAAAATAATGTTCTGTTATATTCATGAGAAAAAAAAGAGGAAAAATCTGTTAGTAAACCTTCGTACCTTTATTATAATGTAAATAAAACATTGCACTTATTATTTTGAAATTGGTTATTGTATTCATTAACAAACTTGCTCACATTTCGAATAATTTTTGTATCTCATATAATTTTGTATAATGTATGTTACGCAACATCATGAATTCACAATGCAACAGATTCATGAATAAAAGTTAAAAATTGAAATGTTGCAAATAATATGGGATTTACAGTGTTGCTACCGTGCGTGATTTTTGAAAAATTACTTTTTGAAACTTAAAATGCTTGTAACTGTGTTCGGCATCCATTGTTCATCATCTGTAGTTGTCCACTATTTCTTTAAACAACATCTCCTTCTAAAGCACTTGAATGATTTTACCTAATCTTTACAGGAATTATCTTTAAGTGGTCATCTACAAAAGTTAAATAAAATGGTTCTAATCATAACCTGTACAAAATTTAAATTATGCACCTGGGCTGCAACCCAATGGTCACTTGATTTATATAGACTTAAATATAAGTTAAAAGGCTTCTGCATAGAAACTACATGCCCAGAGCTTAGATATTTGGCATGTAGCATCACCTGATAATCTTACACTGAAGTTTTATAAATTTAGCTTGTGGTCAATACTTGTTTTAATGTTGCAGAATAGCAATGCTTACATGTCAATATAATAGACAGAAAAGTGGTCAGTGGGGTGGGGTGTTTGATGGGCACCTGAGCACAATGTGTAAATAGTTTAGCTTTTGTGGTAGGCTCATGTTAATTGTTTGTAGTAACCATAATCTCTATAATAAATGTCTTGAAAACCAATTTGGAAGATTTTAATCATACTTAATGTGATTGGCAAAGTGGAGGGTGACAAAATAACTGTAAGATTTGATTATTTGCATACATTGTTTACTGCAGGGACCTTGAGAGTGATTATGATGAATTACCTATGGATCGTCGTGGATCCTTGACAAGTATGAACTCTGTGGCCACCACTGCAACCACAGATAGCAGCAGTAGTGGTGGAAAGGTAGGACATGATTTTATACCATTCTTTTTAGCTCCACCGATATGTCATATCAGATCATGTATCTTACATTTAACAACAATATCCCTTTATAATTATTTTGTTGTTTGTTATTACACATACAGATTTTCAGAAGCTATTATATCCCCTGATTTGGAATATATTGTAAGTTGTTGTTCCTATAATATTTTTATTTAGGTTAGTGTTAAGGCAGGATAGATAGTTTGATTAAACTGGAGTGATAAATAATGTAACAGAAGTAAATAGAGAAGTTTTTCTTTATGTGTTAGTGATTGTCCCTTTAATATAACAAAATAGTGGAGATTTATCAATCCTTGTCTCAAAGGAAATTCTCTCTTGTATAAACTTTCTCACACTGTCTGGAATTGTTGTTTTTTTCTAGCAGAGGTGATAGACTGTGAAATCATGATATTCCATGCTGGAATTGTTGCAACTTTCTTAAAAGAAGGGAAAGGATTAGCTTGTTGTTGTATTTGTGTAATGTAACATGATCAATGATTTTTTGAGGGATGAGGGAAAAATTTGCAGTGTACTATACACAAGTTGTTGCACCGATTTGACCTTTGTAGGAGTCTCTAAAAATTACTATAAATAAAATGTTCTTAACTATATCTACCTTTATTAACCCTTAACAAAGTCATCAAGTTTTTATACTCACACCATGACATAATGTAGAGAGATATCAATTTTTGTGTCAGTCTGTCAGTTGATCTTCATACTTGGCTGAAAAGTTCACCTTAACAAGGTTATTTGCAGAACCCACTTTTCACAGGTTAAAGTTGTACACTTGCTGACCTCTCATAGACTACAAGACACAGTCCAATTTCACTTTATGCACACATTCTTACTTATATTGCATGAATGCCCTATTCTGATGTGTTGTATAGCTTGTGGGAATATATTTTCTTAATGCAATCAACAAGAGTTATACAACCCTTCAGAATAGCACATTCATGTAAATTTCCATTTTAGCTCACCTGACCACGAAGTGGTCAAGGTGAGGTATGGTGATGGGGCTATGTCCGGCATGCGTCGGCGTGCGTTGTGTGTCGTCAACAATTGGGTTGTTAACAGTCTAGCAGTCACAGTTTTGATTGCATCATCATCAAACTTTGTCAATGAAATACAGATCGAGTTCGATGGGTCATCTCGTGTCAAAAACTAGGTCACCGGGGCTAAAAATAGATAAAGCTTGTTAACACTCTAGTGGCTGCAGTTTTGATCCAAATTTCCTGGAAATTGTCAGGCGGGTTGTTTTTATGATTTCTATGTCAGGTTTAAACATGTGTCATCTCCGGTCAAAAACTAGGTCACAGGAGCTAAAATTAGAAAAATCTTGTTAACACTCTAATGGCTGCAGTTTTGATCCAAATATTCTGGAAATTTGTCAAGAAGGTTGTTTTGATGATTTCTAGGTCAAGTTTATATATGGGTCACTTGGGGTCAAAAGCTAGGTCACACTGCCCAAATATGGAAAAAACCTTGTTAACACACAAGAGTTCACATTTTTGACTCCAGTGTCACCAAACTTTGTCAGGATGCAGACATTGCTTGGATGTGGTTGATGGGTCAGGGGAGCGATGTAGGGCCATCATGGCCCTCTTGTATTATATACCTTCAGTACCTTCAGTTAAATGCATAACATGAATTTGAACAAAACAAAATGGACGGGGGGGGGGGGTATATTGTTTTGCTAATGTTGGTCTGTCTGTCGGTCCGTCAGTAGGCCACATGATTTCTGCTGATTATCTTGAAAACTATTTATCACAAAGTCTTCATATTTCACATAGTGATTGGTCATAATTAGTAGATGACCCCTTTTGATTTTGGGGTCAAAGGTCAAGGTCACAGGGGTCTATAATGTCAGAATGGTTTCCACTCATTATCTTGGTTAGTATTCATCACAAAGTCTTCATATTCCATTTCACATATTGATTGGTCATAAGTAGTAGACAACCCCTATGATTTTGGGGTCACTTGGTCAAAGGTCACAGGGGCTTGAATGATAATATGATTTCCGCTTATTATCTTGGTTACTATTTATCACAAAGTCTTCATATTTCAAATATTGATTGGTCATAACTAGTAGACGACCCCTATTTATTTTGGGGTCACCAGGTCAAGGTCACAGGGTCTTTGAATGGTAGTATGATTTCAGCTCATTATCTTGAAAGATAATTATTACAAAGTCTTCATATTTCACATAGTGATTGGTCACAACTGACAGATTGCTTTTGGGGTCACTAGTTCAAAGGTCAAGGTCACAGGGGCCTAAAATGTCAGAATGGTTTCAGCTTATTATCTTGAAAACTATTTATCACAAAGTCTACATATTTCACCTCCTGATTGGTCATAACTAGTAAGTGACTTAAAGCAACACTATTAGATTGTCTGTTTATGTGTGGCTGTAAGCAACACTATTAGATTGTCTTCAAGCAACACTATTAGATGGTGACTTTAAGCAACACTATTAGATTGTCTTCAAGCAACACTATTAGATGGTGACTTTAAGCAACACTATTAGATTGTCTTCAAGCAACACTATTAGATGGTGACTTTAAGCAACACTATTAGATTGTCTTCAAGCAACACTATTAGATGGTGACTTTAAGCAACACTATTAGATTGTCTTCAAGCAACACTATTAGATGGTGACTTTAAGCAACACTATTAGATGGTGACTTTAAGCAACACTATTAGATGGTGACTTTAAGCAACACTATTAGATTGTCTTCAAGCAACACTATTAGATGGTGACTTTAAGCAACACTATTAGATTGTCTTCAAGCAACACTATTAGATGGTGACTTTAATCAACGCTATTAGATGGTGACTTTAAGCAACACTATTAGATGGTGACTTTAAGCAACACTATTAGATTGTCTTCAAGCAACACTATTAGATGGTGACTTTAAGCAACACTATTAGATTGTCTTCAAGCAACACTATTAGATGGTGACTTTAAGCAACACTATTAGATGGTGACTTTAAGCAACACTATTAGATGGTGACTTTAATCAACGCTATTAGATGGTGACTTTAAGCAACACTATTAGATGGTGACTTTAAGCAGCACTATTAGATTGTCTTCAAGCAACACTATTAGATGGTGACTTTAATCAACACTATTAGATGGTGACTTTAAGCAACACTATTAGATGGTGACTTTAAGCAACACTATTAGATGGTGACTTTAAGCAACACTATTAGATGGTGACTTTAAGCAGCACTATTAGATTGTCTTCAAGCAACACTATTAGATGGTGACTTTAAGCAACACTTTTAGATGGTGACTTTAAGCAACACTATTAGATGGTGACTTTAAGCAACACTATTAGATGGTGACTTTAAGCAGCACTATTAGATTGTCTTCAAGCAACACTATTAGATGGTGACTTTAAGCAACACTATTAGATGGTGACTTTAAGCAACACTATTAGATGGTGACTTTAAGCAGCACTATTAGATTGTCTGTTTATGGGTGACTTTTAGCAGGAGAATAAATGTCACTGACTTTCCCATCTATACAGAATGTTTTCAGCTAATGCAATCATTTAGCATGACAAACTAAAATGCCTATACTATATAGTGTTAAACATAGGAGAGATTTTTGAGTGTAGGATTTTCCCTGTTTGTTACATTGTCCACTAAGTTGTCCACAGAGAGATTTGTTATTACAGCTGTTGTTACTGTAGCTAGACGGTCAGAAAATCAATATCTGACCCATTAGCAACTTGCTGGTAATGGTTAGCAACACTTGATGTTCTATACATAGAGACGCTGACAACTAAAATACAACTTGGAATAAAGCTTATGTCTGAAGTATTTGAATTGGCTTATACAGAATTGCAGTATTTAAATTAACTGATACAGAATTTGTTAATATTTCAAACTTTAAATACCAACAATAACTTGTTTAATTACTTATTACCTTACACAATTAAATATGCATTTAGGGTAACTCACACACCTGCATATATTGATATATGACAATAAGTGCACATTTTTCAAACTTGAAATTCTTCATTGTCAAGGCCACATCATGTTCATAAAAAGGTGAAAATACTGTACATGTATCTGGGATTACATATGTAAAAAGAATTAACTTGAAAAAAATTGTAAGAAAGGTATTAATGAATTAATGTGTAAAATTAAGTAATTTTTTAGCTCACCTGAGCACAAAGTGCTTATGGTGAGCTACTTTGATGGCTGGTTGTTAACCGTTGTTGGCATGCATTGTTGTGCATCATGTGTGTCGTAATAAACAACAAGGCCAATTTTGCCTAAACTTGACAGGAATGTTCCTGGCAATCTTCCAAAGTTGTTCAAAGAATTAAATTCCAAGCAGACCTCTGGTTGCCTTTGCAACAAAAAAGAAATCTAAAAGTCTTCTTCTGAAATTTGCAAGGGCTAGAGATAAGATAATATTGTCTAGTTGACCTCTATTAAGATTGTTCAAATTATAGTCCAAGGTCAAAATTGGTCCTGCATGGAAGTGTTATGGATTTAAGTAATTTTTTTTTATTTAAAAAAAACTGCTCCTCCAAAACAAGATATTTAGGTCATGGGTGTTTTCATTATATAATATATACAATAAGAATATTATTTGAAAAATTTTCTTCTCTATATCTCCTTTTTCTATATATAGTAAATATTTAAAAAATCTTCCTTCTGCAAATCTACAAGGGAGGTTAAATATTTGGCATAAAACATTTTCAAGGATTTTTCAGATTATAGCCCTGGGGTCAAAGTTGGCCCCATCTCAGGGGGCCATGGGTTTTCCATACATACATAAAAATCTTCTCCTGCATGTCAACAAGAGCTAGAGCTTAAAATTTAACATGAAATATTTTCTACTGTCACTATACCAAGTTATTCACAAATTATAGCCTTGGTATCAAATAAGCCCCTCCAAGACCTACTTGGTGTGTTTGCATCTGCAATATATATTATATAGTGAACTTAACAAAAATCCTCTTCTT